GAACCTAAACTTGAAGAATTTGATAACTTGAATGATAATGAGGACATTTATGTAGTATTCGGACTTTTCCTATGAATCTAGGGTTTGTACCCCTTGCTATCGATACCTCTCAGTCCAATGTTGTATGTCGTACCCCTATCCAACCCAGCGATCTTGATGATTTACGTAATCATGCCATTTTCAAGGAAAACATTGGGAATTGGAATTTGATCTTCCCAACAATGTCAATTGCACCAACAATTCCAATTGCATATAATAATTTTGTGAATCGGCTTTTAGGTATGTGTTCCGTCGAAGTTATTCATGGTTATAAATCTAGGAAACCTTTAGACCTTATTCCAATATTCCACATACTAGTGTGCCTATGTCAGCTTAGACATTTGTACATCATCTTCATGACTTGCATATTGAGATCAATAAATAACTTAAAGCAAGTAATGCATTCCATAAACTTCAAGCTGATTTGAATAAGCGAAATTTTGAATTTAATATTAGGGATTATGTTATTTTGCAAGCATGTAGTGCTGGTCTTTATGAAATTTTAAAGCATGTTGGTTCAACAACATTTGTCATTGATCTTTTATAACATTTTAGCCACCACTTTATTTTCACAGTTATGTACTTCGTTGCTTACAAACTATTTTAACCCCTCTAATGATCATTTTCTACCTCCACATGGGAATTTCTACACTGAATCTTTTCTTATGTCTACTCCAATATCACCTATCACAGCGCACAGAGATAAGACTGATATTATTTTAGATGAGCAGATTGTGTTGATCAATGATATATAGATTCAGTGTTTTCTTGTTCGTTGGGTGGATCGACTTAATTATGATGATACATGGATCCCCAAAAAGAGACTTCAGTAGTGTGATCCAGATTCATTGGAACTTTATAGGAGTCAGTAAGATCTTCCTTTGTCCCGTTTATCTTGGTTAGGAGATAATTGGCAAATGGCATTGTGATCATTTGTTAAGTTCCGATATTTGGTTCGGAAGATTGATCGTCCCACGTGGTAGATCTATCCACTCAATGGGGTCGAGTTTTCTCCCACCTTGGAGAGTTGATGCGGACATCAGCCCAATTGTTTTACTTACTTCCTGTTTTATTTATTAATGTCTTTTTATTTCATTGAGCTTATCTAGTGGGTTTGGCTCTGGCCCTTTAGGGTTTTTATTTTCACTATTTAAATCTAGTTGTTCATGTAATTGGGACAATTGATGATTATGATGAATTGAAATTGGTTGTAACGTCTCTTTCCTCTCCTTCCTGAATTTTTGCTTCTTGTCTAGTTTCTCCCCCATTCTCTCCAATTCTCCCTTCTTTCTTGTTGTTTTCTTATTTTATCCTGCATCAGTTTATCTCCAATATACACTAAACTTCTTAATAATCTTCAATTAGCCTTATTCTGCACTGTTCTTCAAAAAAAAAAAAAAATTTCTTTTTATTCGGTGCAGGAAATTCTTATGCAAATGGCATGTAAAATTCAATCTTTCTTCATTGTATTTTTTACATTCATTGTATCACTTATCAGAATGTATTCATGCACTAACTTTCAGATAATTAGAGTTTACAAAGATAAAGATCATGCTGAAGTTGAGTTCACTGTAAGTTGGTCGTGTTGACCTTGCCTTTCCTATGCTAGATTTTTATATTTCCACTTTGACTTGACAAATGTTTTCCCCTTTCTATAAGTATGGTTCTGATACATAATTCTCATTGAAGATTGGTCCAATACCTACGGATGATAGTGTTGGGAAAGAAGTTATTACAAGAATGACAGCTAATATGGCCACAGATAAAGTGTTCTACACTGATTCTAATGCTAGGGACTTCCTCAAAAGGGTAATTCTCTGTAGATCATGTGAATATGAATGCCTCATCTTTTAAGAAATTCTAGTACTCTTTTTCTTGTGAATCTTCTTGTCTTTAGGTTAGCAAATATGGCATTTGAATTAGCGTAGATATTTTGTTTTCGTTCCAAACTGATATATTGTTATGCTTCATTGAAAGAGTCTACGTATTAATTCGCCATGCATTAAGAAAATGTTGAGATTATACACTTGAATTATACTCTTCTCATTCAAGAAGTGCTTTTCATAATTAACTGGCCATGTTCTGTTATTTTTTTACTTAAAGAAAATAATTTTGCTTATTCCGTGCATTTTGCTTTGGTAATATGAATAGCTAAACTGTGGTAAATGGAAAAAAATAACACGTGCATTTCTCTAGGCATGTGCCACTAATGAAATATTTTATTACAGACACTTTGTGGCCCTATTATTTGGTTTTTTCTTTTCTTGCTGTAGGGGTAATCTCAATTAGCTGTTTTCCCCACCTATTTGACTTCATTAACCTGTGGCTTTTCAGGTTCGGGATTATAGACCCGGATGGCCCCTCACAGTTACTCAACCTATAGCAGAAAACTACTATCCAGTAACTATCCTGACTCAATTTCTTAATTATGATTTGCAAATTTAACTTGAAGCAAACTTAGAATTCTTGTATTGTGAATGGAGTTTCTAGCCAGTTGCACTACTTATCAAACTGACAAGATATGTCTTATCATGAAAGATACACTCCTCACTATAGAGCTGATCTTTCACTATACTGAGGATTCTCTGAGTCAATGCAAGTTTGAGGTTTTTTTGTACCTAAAGACTAGTGAGGATCTGGGATGATGAGATCTATAACGTGTCTGCTGAAGTAGAATTATTGATTGAATCCCTTTTGGGGTCTGAAATCTAGATCTTCCCAATTCAAAATAATGTGACAAATTGAAACTTGAAAGAATAAAAAGAAATAACAGGATTAAACATTTCTGAGGTCAAACAATAGGCCTAATGCCAAAATTTTCGTTAGTCCATCCATATCAGCACGTCTTCCTGTTTGACTACCTGATTTTTATGCAACATGATCCGCAGTCATGTTGCAACATTGCCTTTGTCAGTCTAAATAGCTTAATTATTGGAAAACTTCTCAGAAGGGTGGATATCATTACTTTATTTTGCCATGTGGTATGTTTTGGTTGAGCCCATTTTTTGTACTAATGGACTTGCATTCATATTTCTGTGGTTTGTTATGTATCTCGGGTTGATAATGCTAATCTCCTAGTACTACAGAGGTAACCAATATTTCTATTTCATAACTGATTTTCTAAGCAATGAAGTTCAGCATCTTGTGCATTTAAGTTCCATCCTCGCTGAAAGGCAGAGTATCATTTCCAACAGTACAAGGAAAACATCATGTGCCCACATGCATTCCCTATCACGTGTGAACATGAGTCATCTGCAATATTCAGGATTTGTTTTCAGGATACTGGCATATTTGTTAAATTTAGTCTCCAAATTCAATATGATACCATTTTGCACTTGATAAGAAACTTAGTGGCCTTTCGCAACTTGATTGGCATTGGTTTTATTTCTGCTTTCATTCAAAAAATGTGATTGTGATTAGAAGTTTTCTTTCTCTGTTAGATCAATCTTGGAATTTTCGTAGAGGATAAGGAATCTGAGTTCTCTGTTTTGGTTGATCGAGCAACTGGAGGAGGCAGCATTAATGATGGAGAAATTGAATTGATGCTTCATAGGTATGCCAAATGCTTCCAACTTGTTTCCTTCTTTGATCCTTTTTGTCATAAAATTCCATAGTCTGACAATTACTTATGCAATTATAATTAACTGATTTTACCTATAAAAAAAAAATAGCCGATTTTGAATTTGTTATTTATTCAGGCGCATTCTACATGATGATTCTAGAGGAGTAGATGAAGCGCTTGATGAGTCAGTATGTGTGGATAATACATGTGAAGGATTAACGGTATGAATTATGTGCCAAGAGTAGTTGGAATTTTATTTTATTTTATTTTTATTTTTATTTTTATTTTTTGTGTACTAGAGAGCTTCTTTGAGACAATTCTTTTTTCCCATCTCTTTGTCAGATTCGCGGAAATTACTACATGAGTATCAATAAGCTTGGTACGGGATCACGTTGGCGCCGGACAACTGGTCAAGAAATTTATTCACCCCTGCTTTTAGCCTTTTCGCATGAGGTAAGTTTACGTCTTGCTGCCAAAAGGATCGGGTAAAATCCTGTTATCTAATAATCTAGCAATTCTTGTTGCAGAACACTGAAAAGTGGAAATCTTCTCATTTGATTAAGGCCACATCAATGGCTGCAAATTATAGTTTACCTCTCAACGTTGCATTAATTACATTACAGGTGATTGCTTATACTTCCATCCAGTCTTGTGCACGATTTCGACCCTCTGATCTGCTCCTGACTCTTCTTTTTTGCAGGAGTTAGATGATCAAAGTGTGCTCCTCCGTTTGGCACATATATACGAGGTGAAGTCCGTCTTTCTTGTGCTCCACGTTAATTTCTGCTGGTTTATTCAGACTGAGTTGAAGGAAAATGAAGGCTATCACAAATTTTAGGGTGCTCTATCATTACATAAAAAAGAGAGATTTGAAGCATTGTCATCTGAATATAGAATCTACGTATAAAACTGCAATCCTATAAAAATAGTATCCTGACTGTAAATATCTAAAATCATCTTCTTCACTGTATAACTTATTCATGCTAAAAATTCTGTAGGCTGGTGAAGATACAGAATATTCATCGCTTGCGAAAGTTGAACTGAAGAAGTTGTTCGCTGGAAAAACTGTATGTATGCCCTACAAATATAACATTCTCTTTCTTAAAGACGTTCGCTCAAGGACGAGGGGGATTTTCCTCTTCAATTATTTTTTTTTTCAAATAGTCCTAGTTTGTTAATGGATAACGATATTCTAGATCACTTTCTTGGCTTTTTGCTCACCAAGTACATTACATCTTTTTCTTCATCTGTACTGTCAAATAATGCACAATGGGTTCAGAAATTGATGTTTAGATTTCGTGTTCAAAAATAAATGATAAGAAATTTCTCTTCTTATCAGAGCTAATATTGAATTTGCCCTTTGTAATTCAGATAAAGGCATTGAAGGAAACAAGCTTATCAGCAAATCAAGACAGGTCAGAAATGAAGAGGATGACTTGGAAAGTTGAAGGTCAAAATGGCAGCGACCCAAATCCGATTAGAGGTGGTCCTGTATACATGTCAAGTCTCATTGTTGAGCTTGGTCCAATGGAGATCCGGACTTTCCTCTTGAGATTTTAAAGGGCTGATCCTCTAACCAGAGGAGTCTAATAATCAGTAATATTGATGACTATCTTTAGGATGCCCAAAATGAAGAGAGGAAATGCTTATGTTACAAAGAACAATTGGTTGTCCTCCCAAATTTGACAATTTTCTGTTGGTATTTCTTGGCTTTTGATAGCTTCTGCCAATGATAGAATGCTAGAGAATGAACTAAAGAAATAAATGAATAAGATTGTGTTTGATTGCAAGTATGGAATCCAAATGGAAAGAAAATAAATTCTAGAATTGCCTAAAAATTATTTGCATAGAAATTACCAATTAAATGTGTTTGATTATTTTTATTTTCAATTTAGAAAATGTTTTATTTGTTAATTTTTTATTGGTAGGTAGATGGGAGAGAGAAGAAAAAGTGAATTCCCTGAAAAATAAAAACATACTCCCCTAAAGAAAATGTCTCTTTATTTTTAAGGAGAATATGATCACGTAATCAAAAGTAGGAGAATATTTTTCATGGAAAAAAATCAATCAAACCATACAAAAGTATGAAGTTTGGTTGAAAAATGACATTTTCTAAGAAATTATTGACAATTAAACGCACTTTAAGGGTAAAAGATTGCCATTTATTACAGAATGTATGAAATTATCTATCTTGTTTGCTTGCTTCCTGAGTTGCACGACACAAAGGCACGTGATTTTTCTAAAAATTAGGAAAGAAATACTCCAATTTAAATTCCTTAAAATTTTATATTTAAATATTATATCTTTATTTTTAAACCTTTTAATATAGGACATGGATGTAATATCGAACACTTGGTTAAGGAATATCCCTAAAGCATCCCTCTAGTGTTAGAAATTTAAGAAATATAAGACTTATGTCACAGTGGGTTTGACACGACGCAATACGTGTTGGACATGAAAACACCGTCCTAGTAACAACGTCTATGCATCATAACTTGCTTCTTTACCACTATCTTATTAGAAGGTACAAAAAACATACAGAAAACATGAACAAGCCAAGAGATCTACTACGACAATGACTCATAAAATGATCAAAACAATTATTTCTATATTTTTTGCAATTTGTTCAAATTAGTTATTACAAATAAAGTCTTTT